TTGATGCACTCACTAACTGTCCTTAATGCTTCATCAAATGGCTCACTTGTTTGGAGCTAGTGTAGGAGGTGTGTTGTAGTGACTAAATGGCCATCCTGTGAGCTCACTCGAAGCTTCCCAAGTGATCCTACAGCTTGTGCTTATCTCCTGTGTGTTTGTCTTGTTCTTGTCTCGGCCACCCAACCCCAATGAAACGAAGGTTGAAAGTGCCAATCCAATTGACTTTAAACAGGTGCTTACCCTGGACGAAACTGAAGCATTGGACAATGGAAGGGTTGTGTGTGTGTGTATGTGTGTGTATGGTTATAAATTATGGACAACACGTGTTAGCTGTTTGAAATATGAAAATCATGCTCCTGTCAATTCCAGAGAAAGGTCTCTGTCACCTAGAGTGAAATTATTTACACTTATCTAACCCACTTTACAATGCAAAATATAATGAGCAATAGAACTCGATTTTCTTCTGCAAAATCCCCACAATTCATATCTGCATGTGATTTCTCACCTGTAAATTGGAGTTTAAACCATGTGATTAATTAGATCTCCTACCCTTAGGACTCTTCATTAAACAGGACTTCTTGGTTGTTACTGAATTTGGATTTTTCTTACTTTTCCCAGCCCTTTATCTTTCCTTAAAGGGCTCTGACGATGAAGCTTTAGTTTCTGTATCTAAAAGACTTCCTGATTCTCATGGTATGCCTTGTGACACAGTGATAATGGTGGGAGTCAGGCCTATTTCCTGAAACAGCAATCTACTGATGTTTTCTTCCCTTTTAGATTCATAGAATCAAGGAATGACAAGACCATTAATCATTGTGCAGGAATAAACAATGTTGCTAAACTTGTCAGCCTTATGATCCTTTCCAGATCATTTTTTAGCCCAGTTCTGGAAAAGAAAACCTTGCCAAGACTTTTATTTTTTTTCCTATGGTGTTGCATTTGCTGTGCCAAGTAGAGAAAATTGAGGTCATATGAATTTAGGATTCAGACAACCATGTGGTAGTAAAGAGGAAACTAAATACAAAATATGTGTGTTATCCAAAAACATATATGAGAATAATATATGAGTATATATGTATATGGAAAGATATAAAAATAAGAAAGAATGCTTCTTTCCAAAATAAATTTATCCGCAAACTATCTCATGCCTAATTTAATATGCTGAGTTCTGTAGTCTGTTGGAGACACTGAATAAATGTTTTCTCCAGTGCTAAACTTTGCATTCATTTTGAGTAGCAATTTGTAATAAATGCCACAAATCACAAATTGTCCACAGCCCTTGAGAGAGGGAGAGAGGAAGAGGGAGAGAGAGAGAGAGACAGAGAGAGAGAGAGAGAGAGAGAGAGAGAGAGATTGAGGACCAGTGAGGACCATGGAATTGATCCATGTTAACTAGAATCTTTCTGTTGGATTAGAGCCTAAGAAACAACCTAAGAGGTCGCCTCAGGCAGGTTTATATGCAAACAACATAGAACAAATTGGCTGTGCATCAGGAGTACATGGTAGGTCATGTAATTGGCAGCTGTTGATAGTCTCATTCCACAAGTGGGAAATAACCTCATTGCAATGTTTCTTTATCTCCTCTTCTTCCCAATGCTATGATGGAATTCAGGCTTCATCAAAAAATATCTTCTGAGACTAACTGCTAACATGAAGATTATAGTTTCACATGAACTAAAGTCATAACTTCTTGGCTCACGAATCAATTATTTTCGTGCCATCTTGTAAACTTGTATTATCTTACATCCTTCCTTGACTCTCAGTTGTATGCATGATCAGAGACTAAATCTGTAGCACTCTAGCACTGTCTTCCCACTGCTCATCGATTTGCTCAAGTGGGCACCAATAACGTCTCCATTGTGAGACTTGTTGTTACTGTTTTTGGCATATCTAATACACCAAGGGGAGTTTGCCAGGCTCTGCCATGCAGGTGGGATACTCTCAGTAGCTTGCCAGGCTCTCCGAGACGGACAGAGGAGTCGAACCCGGGTCAGCCACATGCAAGGCAAATGACCTATCCACTGTGCTATCCAGTCCAGAGACTAAATCATATATTATTTCTTTTAAAACATTTTACCTTTGGGCCTGATACTATATTTAGAAGATATTTAAAAGATTTGTTCAAAACGTTGCCTTTCTTCAACATTCACTGTATCACTGTATCACTGTATCACTGTCATCCTATTATTCATCAATTTACTTGAGCGGGTGCCAGTAACATCTCTATTCCTCCCAGCCCTGGGATTTTAGCAGCCTCTTCTTACTCGTCTTTTCCCAACCATTGAAGGCTCTTTCAGAGTCAGGGGAATGAGACTGTTATAATTACTGGTTTTGGTATATCAGATACACCACAGGTAGCTTGCCAGACTCTGCCCATATGGGCAGGATACTCTCAGTAGCTCGCCACGCTCTCTGAGAGGCATATATTTATATATTTCTCTCTATTATTTGTTGCCTACTGTCTGAACCACATGAAATATGGTGTGGTAATTATGGAAAATGGGTAGAAAGTGTTTTATATTGTGTCGTGGCCACACAGCCTGGAACGTGGTGGTGGTTGGGTAGTGGAGGTTGGCTGCCCCGGGCTGGGTCCCTTGGGGTGGGGAGGGCTTTCACCCACCCCACTCTGGGAACCTCAAGTGAAAGCAGCTTGGCACGAGAGAAACCTCTTTAGATCATATAAATCTTTCTCTTTAACATTATAACCAAAAATTGATTTATAACAATAGTTAACAATTGGAAAAATTTTCAAGTGTGCTAAAGGAATTCTTGGCTTTATTCTTTTTATTTTTAAAAAAGTCACAATCTCCTTCAACTTATTGAAAGTACTATTCTTCAGAGGAGTTTTACAGGAACAATTTTGGGGTCAGAAGGTGAAGAAAAGAAAGATGATAAAATAATAGGTGATAGCACAAGAGTTGAATGAGAAAATATCATGCTACATTGACAGTACTGTATTTTAGCAAGCAAAATGCTTCAAAGACTATGGTGTTGTGCATATCTTTCGGAAAAATACTATACTTTGATAGATTTTTTTTTTAAAAAAAGAAGAGTATTCAGTGTCTAGACATCTACCCTGAGAGTCTTACTCACTGAAGAAAGTATATTTAGTAGAAGAAATATTGTGTATCAGAGGACTCTCAAGATGTCTTCTCTCTAAAACCATTCACTGAAGAAACAATCACCTAAGTATATTCAGTAGGATATAGTAGAATACTAGAAAATTTTATGTAAATAAATACTAGCTTTTCAAATGGTGCCCTACTGATTTATCGCATACCTAATTATTATGTTCCTTATCATTAATTCAAAACATAGCAGCTTCTAGTTCTGACCAATAACTAACAAGATTAAATAAAAGGTAAAGGTAAAGGCCCTCCCGTTGATCGTCGATTTGCTCGAGCGGGCCCAGTAACGTCTCCATTGGAGATTTTGTTGTTACTGTGTTCGGCATATCGAATACTCTCGGTAGCTTGCCGGGCTCTCCGAGAGGGAGGGGCGGAGGAATCGAACTCGGGTCGGCCATGTTGGCCGCTTGTAAGGCAAACGCCCTACCGCTGTGCTATCGCTCCAGCCCTAACAAGATTAAATAAAAAGAATAAATTTCTATTTATATTGTCCAACATATGCATCTTTTTCTTACATGTTAAAAATGCTTAGCGAGATAATCTAACTGTTTTTAGATGTATCCTTGGAATAATCTATTGTTGAAATTTTAATTACCTCAGAAAATCTGAAATATTCTAGACTACTGAAGTGGGAAAATATATGTTTTCTCACACACTAAGAAAACAATCTTTTTTACTCTAGAAAAGCCTTCATAGGTCCTTCCTTTGTAAAAGGATTTGACAAAATCATGGACCAGAGAGTTGTACCAAACATCAATCATTTTGCCAAGTTAGAGAGTGGAAATTTGGTCAAGTATTCAGTAGGAAATGATATCATTCCAATGCACATGATGGTGGTTTTCTATGACTAGTGCAGCTGTACTTAACATTGGCCAGTAGCTTAGTCTCTTCATAGTAACTTAGGCAACATTAGGGATAAGACTGAGGCAGAAGAGCTCACAACACTGGAAGAAATGGCAACTAACAAGTTCCTTCGGTCTAAAGAAACATCTGAATTAGCAAAATTTTGCTCCTTATTAATGTTTTCCCCTTTGGGAGGCCTGAAAAAAATAGATGTACACACATATTATACACGATTCATTCTGCATGCGTGGATGCAAAATATATCCTTAGACCCTAATCTCTTCTACTGCCATAGGTCATTTCAGTTTCTCTTTAGCATCCAGCTTCTTAAACCATTGGTCATAACCCCATATGGGATCATGTAACTGAATACAGGGATCGTGAACATTGTGGCAATAATGTGAAATATTTCTTAATTGAAAAAAACAAAAGTTCATTAAAAATCCGCCATATGATGAGCCCATGATGTTTGTGGCTGCACTCATCCGTGCTTCATTTCTTGGGTGAAAAGAGATTATGAGCAGGAAGCTTAAGAATCCCTACTCTAGTTGTGCTTGTATCATCTCGAGCAGGTTTTTCTGTTCCCTGTGTCTCTCTTGTTCTCCAAGTACTATGCCTCTGATTGCAAAGGACAGTGTCTTTATAAAATGCATTTATGACTCTGTATGTTCTATTATTGCTGTGACCATGGCTATTATAGGCGGCATATAGTTTGTTCCATTTTACCCAACATGGGGTAAAAGGGTTTGCACAGCTTGGAGCATCTCTCGCTCTCTGCTAGATTGGATGCCATCCAGTTCATGAATCATTGAATAAGCCAATAAGATCTTTTTTAAAAAAGAGAGAGAGAGAGAAAGATTTGTACTGAGAAAAGCAATAGATGTTTCCTCACTCCTAAAACTGCTCTGTACAAGTTAATTCAGAATTTAGTTGGATAGAGACTTCTAAGGCAAAATTTATATTGTATTTGAAAGGAAACAAAGACAATCCGATGAGTCTAAATGACCATATTTTTTTCTTTCTTTCTAGGCCCACCAAGACTATCACTATGTCTGAAGGAGACTATGACTATCTGATCAAACTCCTGGCACTGGGAGATTCTGGTGTGGGAAAGACGACATATCTTTATCGATATACTGACAACAAATTCAATCCCAAATTCATCACAACAGTTGGAATAGACTTTAGGGAAAAGCGTGTGGTGAGTTTTTCACTCTCCTGTCACCCTTGTTGCTGATCTGACCTCTCTCCTTTATAAACTGAGAGTTAAGAAGCTTGTGTTAATTGTACGATGAAGTATGTGTCCTTTTCACTTAAAATTCTAACTTGTCACTTTAGACCCTTATTTCTTACTCTCTCAATTACAAATAACATTTGGCTTGGAAAAATATTGAGCGTCACAATCACTTGTCTCTAAATGTATATAGAAAAACTAATAATAAATAATTAATGGGTTTATGGTGTGTTTTCTGTGAATTCTTAAGGAATCTTTCAAAACTTGAATTATTCAGGATCTGAAAAACATTAACTCTTGATTTGAGCTAAGTTCCTCGATAAGAATAAGTGTGTGTTTCTCTCCTCTTGAGAAAGAGGTTAAAAGAATGATTGGCAAATAGCAGGAATATGAGCTTTGTAAGTGCTTGCTGCATTTTTTATTTATGTGGGGACTCAGCCATCAATCACTGGCTTATTATGAACAGAATGTGAGACAAATCCATCCTATTTTCCAAGATCAGGGAGTTTAAGTGAGAATCACAGCCATTTCCTTCTTCCATGCTAGACGCTAATGACAGGAGTAAGGATATTGTGACATGAAAGACGTGAAGCATAGGCACATAAGCCTAGCCAGATTGATGCCACCAAAGGTGTGTTTCATTGCCAAGTCGGCTGTGGCTTCCTTTTGATGTCACAAATATAGTCATTCCTTGAGAACAGGGAAAGAAATAAAGGAAACACTGGTTTAACAGTAGAAACCGGTTTCTTATAATATCCTCTACCTTCTCTGAATGGTAAAACATGGCAGTAGAGTCTTGGTAAATTGACTTCTAACCACTCCTGCCTTCTTCCCACCTGAATTTTCCCAATGTTGTGGAAAATGTTGTGTGACTCAGTGAAAGAACACTTAACTCACATAGCTGAGCCTTTGGTTTCGATCCTTGGCACGACAAAAATTTTTAAATAACAAAATCATACTAGTAGAGCTGGTTAAAAAAATTTATACATTGCTTTAATAAAAGATTAAAAGTTCTTGGGCCTGAGAGATAGTACAGCAGGCAAGGTACTTGGTTTGTGCGTGGCTGACTCAGTTTTGACTCCAGGAGTTAGAAGTTTTCCCAAGACCCACCAGAGTCTTAGCACTGAATGAGGAGTAAGCTGAATCAAGCTGTACAAAGTCTCAAAACCAAATGAAAAAAATTTTAAAGACCATAAGTTTTTTTCATGTAAAATTATTTTTAAAGAGAAGATACATCGAAGTAATGTGGAATATTGAAATACCCTGTGTAAACTTATCATGAAATTCTGTGCATACTTGACTATCTTTTTTTGAAAGCCCAATTCACAGATCAGAGGATTTTCAGATATTGTAGAGCATTTCACTTTCTTTACTACCTTCTTATCTATGATTTTGTTTTATTTTGCAGTAGCTCTGTAAAGTGGGAAGAGATGATAGATCTCCATTTGCAGATGAGAAGATAAGACTCGAGGTTAAACTTAGAGTTGATATTTGAACCCAGAACTTGGGTCCTAATCTAATGTTTGTTGCCTTCGTGAGGAAATGACAGAAGGTGTCTAATTTAAGTTTGCAGTATGCCTAAATTGTGTTGAAAATCATACTTGCACTTGACATTTTAAAGTGAGAGTATATGTGATACTTCTGGGGGAAAAAACAGAGCAAATATTTATTCTGCACTATGAACTTTGATTATAGTAATTGAGAAACAACATGCTGGGTGAACCCAGAGAATCTGAATGTTGACAAAATCAAAACGGTCTCAACTGATGAGCATTGTCTCTTTCAGGTTTATAACACACAGGAACCAAACGGAACCTCAGGGAAACCATTTAAGGTACACCTTCAGCTATGGGACACGGCCGGACAAGAACGGTAAGACTATCCTGTTTTTAATCTACAAAGGGCTTAGAAAACTGGTTTTACAGAGAACACCTATGTGAACTTGAAAATTAAAGGTTTCTAAGTGGACATTTGTATTAAGGAATCAATATTAAATGATTTATAGTTATTTAACCTCAACCTAGCCTTCGTATTTGGTCATGTCTCCAAATTCAAATCAGTAAACATACTGTTGAAGCCTATGTTTTTTTTAAACTGGACATTGTCTTTAATATTTCCAATGAGAGAAAATCTTACCCCAAATTTAAGTGAACTGAAATGGGAAATGAGCGTTATTATAGGCAGTACAGAAGAGGGAACTGATGGAGATATGAATGCTATGATACCATTCTCATCTCTTTCCATTGTTCTACATATTCTCTCCAAGTAGGCCATTTGTTTTTTTTTTCTCTAGCTAGTTCTCTAAATTCCAACTAGATGTATGTCTTCCTGCCTCCGACTTCATCTTTTACTCCTGGCCTGCTCTTATCCCACCTCTTCTGGGTGATTTCAGATAACTGGTCAACTGGAACTAAATGTCTTTCTTCTCAACCCCCTTCATCTATTCTACATTCTTTACATTATTCTGTTTGCTCATTGCTTTATTCATGACCTTTTCACTTAAAAACAAACAAACGAACAAAAAAACAGCAGCTTCACAGAAGGAAGAGACCGTGTCTAGATTTTATGCATCATTTTGATAAGGTGCCCGTGAAAGAAAATACTTAGTTGACACTAGTCTGGATTGCTTAGAGCTGGAAGTGCTAGTCCATTATTTGATGGAAACATTTCTCTGGGATCCAATATTTTTCAAGTGCTGAAGATCCTATGCTAATGCAACTTTCCAATATTAGATGAAATAAAAAATTGGCAATACATTGGCAGAGAAGATATTTAGATGGCACGCACCTCCAACTCTATACCACATGTCTCCGAATGTTTATGCTTGTAAACACTTATGATTTTGAAATGCATCCAAAATGTTCTCACTTTCTGCGAGTGTGAACGCCAGGAGAGGTGCTGGGCCCTCTCTGTTAGCTTTTCTGACTGTGAATTCCATTTACACACATCCTTCAACACTGCTGGTTCCTTTCAAGTCATCCCTCACAAGAATCTTTCTTCATATGTCAGTTTTGTTGTCACAAAGATGTATGTTTTATAGACCAATTTGATTCATTTCTGAAGAAGTAATAGGAGAAAATGTGGTTCCCATATGTCCTGGCACATGATATGTCAGTCTAGCATGACGGCAGGCTTCTCTTCTCTACCCCCTTTAGACAGCTGCTCGATGAAGGAAATGGGAAGTACTAGGGACATTCTTAATGACACGGAGGTTATTCATCCCTTGAGAATTTTGCATTCTGTGTAGGAAAGGTGTTACTAGGCAACAAGATAAACAGTGCCTCACATCTTAGCACTGTGCCAGAGACATCTGGCGCCATACCCCTATAAGATAATCATTATTGATAAAATGACATCATGGGAAGGAGGAGGAAAAATTAGACCCTTTCTGTAAACCAAAGAATACCAGGCACAGACTTAGTTCCCAGTGAAGGAGAAAAAGTTATAAATGCAATTCTAGAAGCTGGGGTTGGGTGTGTGTGAGAGGTGTATGTAGTCTTCGCTTTCCTCACCCTACCGATTCACTAGATAGAATAAGTCCAGTGAATTGAAATGGAAATCGATTCTTTTTCTCCTTGAAATTGACCTTAGAAAGAATGATGAATAACAAAGATCCTGGACAGAAGCATCCAGGGGATGAAAAACCATCCAGAGCATGAATGGCCATCTATGTTGCTAAGGATGCAAAAATGTTTGCCCCAATGGTGTCCATACAAAAGGCACACTTTAAAGACACTTTGTCCTGTGTGATGAGCTATGAGAAAGGGATAGGAAAACAAATGAGACATATAAATGACATAAACACACTTGCAGAGAAAACAGGGAACAGACTAGTGTGATTAAGGAAAAGACAATTTTATGAGTACAGCTGATCCCCAAAGATAGAGAACCAGTGATTAAAAGCACAGTAATCACTAAGAGGCTTTCAGTGATTGGTAGAAAGAAATCTACAATAAAAAGTATTAATTTCTGCTTTTCATAATTATGATTATATTCTTTTGGGGGGGCTTTTTGGGTCACACCCGGCAATGCACAGGGGTTACTCCTGGCTTTGCACTCAGGAATCACTCCTGGAGGTGCTCAGGGAACCATATGGGATGGTGGGAATCGAACCCAGTTTGGCCACATGCAAGGCAAATGCCCTACCTGCTGTGCTATCACTCCAGCCCCTATGATTATATTCTACCCAAAAAACTAATTTAGAAATCAATTGTCAGTAAAAAAATCTCTTCTCCCTGATTTGTATTAAAATAATTGTTTTAATTGAAGCTAGTTCATATATTTAATAATTTTACATCCTTTTGTATTCTCTGGATTTCTTCAATTTGAAATTTAATTAGAAAATACTATGTCCAGGGCCACAAAAATATAATATATAGCAAGTTAGAAGCATGGTTCCTTTCCTGAAGTTTAGAGTTTTGATTGGACATTTGAAAAATAATGAACTATTGCAATCAATTTCCATCTCAATTCACTTAGAACTATTACTGTTCTAAACTATATTTCAATATAGCTTAGAACAGTAACGGGAGAAAGGAGTTACTGGTGGAGTCCCTAGAAGGAGTTTATAACTCAGAAGTGGGTATGGGATAGTGTACTTGAAGAACTAATACCTCCTTTAATGTGAGCGTACGCATTCCCATATACAATGTGAACTTTACTCAGGATAAAGATAAAGATGGTGCTACTACAGGGAGAATAGCATGTGTGAAAGTCCAGGGGAGAGAGTGAATTTTCTCAGCGCTAAGCATGTAGTAAGTAGTCAAGATGAAACTGGGTAAATGAGTATACAGGTCTGCTCAGGCAGAGCCTTGCCAGCTTATTAGAGTTTATCATTTTCTTGAGAACAATGCATCATCATTAAAATGGCTACAGCAAAGGACCCATATAGGCAATGGTGAGAGGTATAGGAAGGAGAGGATCACATACAAAACTGGAAGAGTAGCCTATTGACCAGTCTATTGAAGTGATACCAGTAAAAAGGAATGGGCTTAAAATTATGATATGTAAGAGAGAGAGAGAGAAAGAGAGAGAGAGAGAGAGAGAGAGAGAGAGAGAGAGAACAAACTGCCTGCCATCGAGGTGGGAAGGGAAACAGGTGGGAGGTAAAGTAAGGGAAACTGGGGCCATTGGTTGTGGGAAATATGCACTGGTGAAGGGATGGGTGTTGGAACATTATATGGCTGAAATTTAATACTTTGTAACTGTGGATCTCACTATGATTCAATTAAAATAATTTTTTAAAGAACTACACTATTTTTAGAGTTGATGAGAAGAAAAGAGAAGGTGAGGAGTTAATTATAAACTTATACAGCAGGTTAAGAAGAGAAAGTCTGTGGTATAGTGTGAAGTACAGGAACTGTCTAGAACTTTACAATGAAGATACTCATTACATAGGTCATAAATAAGGAAGTGGGTGATACTACAGAGTCATCTCAAAGAGGTCCACTGACAATTCTACAAATGGGTTAAAATAGAAGACCCCCAAATTAGGAAGTCAAATAGCTTAGCGACTGATAGATAGCCTTCCCTATTTCAAAACTATTTTCCATGCTAACACCTCACTTTCAAGTTCTCTTATTTATGTTTGTCAATCTAAAATCTCTGGGCCCTCTATGTGTTGCCTGATTTGGCTCACTGCTAATATTGAGATGGATCTCAGAACATCTTCAGCTTTTCACAAGTCACTGGATAAGAATAAATGGGGGAAAAAGAGAGAAAAGCTTACATTTACACAACAGCACAAGTCTGTAGTCTCTAATTCTTCTAAGTCACTCTTTAGAGATGTTTTTGAAGACTTAAAAAAAGGCTTTCTCTTCCAAACCACCGAGTCTCTTTGATTTGCCCAGGTTTTTCTTAATTATCTTCCTCTTCCTCCTTCAGTGTCTTCCTTCTTCCCTCTTAGACACTAGCCTAAAGATAAGTTTTACGCCAAAAATTGTGCTTATGCAAGGGTTTCTCGTCAGTGTCTGCTTTTTCCCCTACAAATAATTAAGGTTCCAGCTTCTAATAAGTTGTGGGTTTTGCATGTAATCACATGTATATATTTTCAGGGTGCCACATGCCAAACTTTTTTCCTAGGCCCAGACAAGAAAGATTGAAAGTATAAGTCCTGATTCTAAAGTGACTCATGTTTTAATTATGAATCACAATTTGCCCATGAGCCAACAAGACAGAGTCAGGGTGCTGAATAAGCAAGTATGTGACTGAATATTGCAAACTGAATATAAGCTCTACAGAACATGTAGCCAGGATGTGTAGTCTTAAAAATATCTGCAACCAGATACTCTTTTTTGAGTCATCACCAATGTTTCTGCTGGCTTTCCCATTCTCTAGGATAACCTATGAAGGTTTTTGTGAGAATTTTGTACATATAGGAAGGTAGTATTGTTTGTATTGTAATCAGAATATGTTTGTAGACTAACTTTAAGAACTATTCTCTGTGTTTTCTTGGCAGATTTCGGAGCCTTACCACTGCATTTTTCAGAGACGCCATGGGTTTCTTATTAATGTTTGACCTCACCAGTCAACAGAGCTTCTTAAATGTCAGAAACTGGATGAGTAAGTGAGACCAAGTAACTTGCACTCTCCAACTGGTGGTTGTTTGATTCCCAAAGTGAAGCTAGACTGGGTACTGCAGATAACTTTGAGAAATCACGAGCTTGAGGTTTCCTATGTTACCTTCAAACAGGTGGAGCACTGAAGATGAGTTGAAATTGTATTTTCTTTTGATATTTAGAAGTCTATGTTTCATCAACATCTGTGCTTAAAGTCATGAGTCAAAGGTCATTAACTTCCCTTGTCTATAAGTTTTGAGGATTTCTTACAAACAAGTGAGCTATCATATTAAATGGACAAAGATAGAATAACAGCAGCATTTTCTGAACATTTTCACATGAGTTAACTAGGAAATTATATGAGAAAATGTACCAGAGTCTGCCAACCATCTGAAGCAAAATTGTTTTGTGTCAGTGAATCAGCGTATATTGAAAATATTCATGGAGTCTTAAAAACAGAAAGTATCACTGTATCACTGTCATCCTGTTGTTCATTGATTTCCTCGAGCAGGCACCAGTAACATCTCTTTCATCCTAGCCCTGAGATTTTAGAAAGTTCCACATTCGAGCCTCTTTCAGGGTCAGGGGAATGAGACCCATCATTGTTACCAGGTTTTGGCATATTGAATACACCATGGGGAGTTTGCTAGACTCTGCCGTGTGAGCAGGATACTCTCAGACAGTAAAATAATAAAATACTATAGTACTGTTGATTATTGTTGGTTAAAATTTTAAATGTTCAAATAGTATTTTAATAATATATTTAATAAAATATTTAATGACATTTAGATATAAAAACTCATAGAAAACATTATCAGTTTTCATATTATTTAGGCTTAGTATGAAGATCAAAAATAACCTAATCAGCTGTCAAAGTCATATTGATATATATGAACCTTGGGCCAGAGCAGCTCCTGAGGGCACTCTGGAAGCCCCCAGATGCAAATTCCCTTTTACCAAGCCCACATTTTTTCTCACCTCTGCGAATCATTTCCTCAGTCAAAAATTTCTTTGGGATGTTGGACTGAAAAGATAGTGTAGGGACTAAAAAGACTCCTATCTGGGGTCTTTCACGTCACAAATGATTCCCTCTGTCTGATTTCTCTTCTCTCCTTGACAGAACGTGCTAGTTCTTTCATCTCCTTCAAGTTTAACTTTCTTTTTTAAAAGGTTAAAAGAATTTAAGAGATGGATAGAATTTAAGATAGAATTTAAGAGAATATTTTATTTAGCTTTTTATTTTTGGTTTTGGGGTCACCCATAGCAGTGCTTAGGGGCTACTCCTGGCTCTGTGCTCAGGAATTGCTCAAAGCATTGCTGGGGGACCATATGGGACAGGAGATCAAACCTGGGCCTCCCTCATGCAAAACATGTACTCAAAAAGTTAAACTACTTCTCTGGTTCTAAAATAAAACAGAGAACATTTCATTTGCATTTTAAATTATCAAAACACATTGTTATGTTAATGGCATAGTTAGTAATCCTAAGGAGTTGCTGCTACTCTTGAAATTTCAAGATATAGGGGATGGCAAGGTGGGAGGGCTTTCTGTGGTCAGAGTGATTAAAAAATCAAATGAACCTGCATCAGAATATTCTGTTTCAAGTCCTCCATCTGACTTGGAGCAAGACCCAGAGTTCTTCATTCACAATCAAGGGCTCATCGTCGCTAACTCACCCGGCCCATCTCTCAGTTTCTACCTCAAGTCTCACATGGGTTTCTGGCATGCAGTACACCCCTATCTGGGGTCTTTCACATCACAAATGATTCCCTATATCTGATTTCTCTTTTCTCCTTGACAAAATGTGCTAGTTCTTTCATTTCCTTCAAGTTTTTGTTCAAACCTTATTCAAAATTGATCTTGAGAGAAGTTTCCCTAACCAGTCCACCTCAAATAATGGAATTCTTCATTATTCTGTATCCTCTCAACACACTTTCTAGTACATTTGATCATAGTTTCCTCTTGACATTTTACATGTGTCTACTTTCTTATGACTTTTGACTGTTTCCACACTAAAATGCAAATTATGGAAAATGATTTTGCTTTGTTTCATTGCAATAGCTTAGAATCTGATGAGTTCCAAGCTATTGCACACACACACACATGGACACTCACATACAGACTATACATGCATATCTATATATGTGATATTATATAGTATATTAATATATGACTCTACTAATATGCTATTAATACAGAGACAATAATTAACATATTAATATTATTTATTAATATATTATTTATATTTCTAATGGATAAGTATATATACTTATATATGGTGCTTGATTTCTGTGTGGCCCAGAGGAGCTCAGGAAACATCAGGGTCACAGTCCAAGGCATGTGCTGCAGCCCTGAGAGATCCCTCCCTTTCCTCTAGACTCTATACTGCGAATGTGAGGTCAGAAATACCTGCACTCCCAATGAGGAAGAATATCTACAAATTCTAACTTCCTTAACTGCTCTCAAATAGGTGTTTGTCCTAGGATCTGTCTTTATTTCTTAATATATTTCTTTATCCCAATTATCTCAATCTATTATCAGGTTCTAAGGAAATAGGAAGGATTAAATTCTTTTAGAAAATGATAGTTCATCTTTTTTTAAAGGTAGCTGAAATTCTCCTTTGGTTTTTTAATTTGTTTTTCTATTAATGCAGTGGGCTAGAGCGATAGCACAGTAGGTAAGGCGTTAGCCTCACATGCAGCCAACATTGCCGACCCAAGTTCTATTCCTCTGCCCCACTCAGAGAGTCTGGCAAGCTACCGAGAGTATCTTGTCCGCACAGAAAAGCCTGGCAAGCTACCCGTGACATATTCAATATTCCAAATACAGTAACAAGTCTCACAAATGTTAGTGGGCCCACTTGAGAAAATTGATGAACAATAGGAGGACAGTGACACTGATTCATACAGTATTTCTTTTTTTCTTTTCTTTTTTAATATTGATTTTTTATTTTATTGAATCACAATGAGATAAAGCATTACGAAACTGTTCATGGTTGGAAATCCTCCTTTGCTTTTAAAAAAAATACCCAGGGATGAGGCTAGATCATCAGTCCTGTGTGTAGGGCGTTTGTCTTGCACTTGGTTGACCTGTTTGATTCCCAGCATCCTTTATGATCCCCTAGATTCACCAGGAATGATCCTTGAGTACAGAGCCCAGAGTAAGCCCTAAATCCATCTGGGTATGATCGCAAAAACCAAACAACACAAAATACCCATGGGCTGGAGAGATAGTCCAGTCGGTAGGGTGCTTGCTTTGCACTTGGTGAGACCAGGTTCCATCCCCTGTACCCCATCTGGTCCCAGAACACTGCCAGGAGTGATGCCTGAGCATAGAGCCAGGAATAAGCCCTCAGTACCACCAGAGGGGACCTCCTCCCCAAATTAAAAAATTAAATACAGAGAAAAGTGCTGTTGATATTTAAAAGAATGAATTTTTATGCCTAATAATTTCTAATATTCAAATGATCAGTGTCATTTTATCTTTATTCCTGGAGTGTCAATGAGTTTGCCCATAGCATGCCTTGACATTGACATCAAAACATTCCCAGAAAACCTTGAAACTGTAGTTTGGTGGGGTTCTTATGCTCTCCCTTCCTCTTCTCATCTCTCTCCTCCCTTCCTTTCTTCCTCCTTCTCTCTTTCTCCTCTCTCTGTATCTCTTTTATGAACAACATCCTCCCCCCCACACACACACATACACACTCTTGCACTTTTGAACAGCATTTCAGGGTGGGGGAGGAAAGGAAAGTGACCTGTTCTAAAATTGTTTTTACTTGAATTTGTGGTGGTTCAAAAATGTTCTGTTCTTGAGATTCAGATGGAAATGTAACCACCTCTCAAAGGGCAGAGTACAGTAACATTTTCAGATCACATTTCATTATTATGAGGTCACTTGTCTTTGTCAAAGGGCATTTCCCCAGATATAGAAGAGCGTTTTTAGGTGTTTAGACCAGTGTGTAAGGTTCACTGTGGATCATCTTCACCATTTGCAATTCATCAACCATTATCTCCATTTCACAGGCAAGGAAACTAAGGCTAAGAAGAGTTTAGTGAATTGCTGATAGTACCCAAGGAGCTGCCAAACTAGAGATGGACAATTACTTTAGGAACCTGAAGGATGAGCAGTCATTTGATATCACTTGTTTATAACTAACTTGCTGTTCCCATCTGCTTTCTCTCCAAGGCCAACTGCAAGCAAATGCTTATTGTGAAAATCCAGATATTGTATTAATTGGCAACAAGGCAGATCTAGCAGACCAGAGGGAAGTCAATGAACGGCAAGCCCAGGAGCTAGCAGACAAGTACAGGTAAGTCAGTTCAATGGAGACCTTCAGATTGATGTTTTGGGATGGGACTGGGATGAGAGGATTAATGTTAGGAAGAGAAATTCCTTGAATCAGAATGGTCTGTGAATGAAAAATCATCTTCCAGAAGAATAGATTGATATTTTCAATAAAACGTGTTAAAAATAATAACTAACACCTACCAAATATGTATTATTAGCAAATATTCATAAACCAATCCATTTAACCCCTCATGAACACAGGTAAGAGACCTAGTTATCTCATTTTATATGCAAAGAACTGAAGCACAAAGTGATTGAGTGACTGATGGAAAGTCCCATAGCTAATAAGTAGCGGAGCTTGGATTTACCTCTGGCAATCTGAGCTCATACATCCATCTTCCTCCATTTCAGTTAATAATCAGGCCTCTAAGGAATCATATTTGGTATGAACATAATGACACCATCGTTTTGTTTAAAACTGCCATTGAAACTTAGCTGATAAAGCTTAGATTTTTTTTTGTAGTTATAACTGAACTTCCTTGATAATTTGTCATTTTTGATTAAAACAGTTTTGTTTTGTCTGACAATTATTTACTGTAGAAGTTTCCTTGAGAGCTTTAAGAATGTGTGTCTCTTGCAACTTTTTATTCCAAATCAGTAGGCTGTATTCCCATGAATATTTTAGTGTGTGCTCAATTTGAAAATCAGTTTCCTAGAGTTTGTTTGGAAAGGAAGGCAATTTTAATGATAATTTTGGTTTAGACATAGTTAACCTGAATTGAAACAAAGTGATAACCCCTTGACTTCAAGTTTCTAAGTGCCTCTTATATTGGTTTCCTGGCCAATAAAACTGATTATCACCATTCTAAAAATCTGCTCACTAGTTTTACTTGCTGAGAAAAAACAAAAAAGATGTTTTGTAGCTTATCCAGCCAAATCATGGTTACTTCACAATCTCTCAGCAACCATGTCTTTTCGTGTGTGACTCATTTGTATATCCCATATCTTTTCTGACTTCTTCCTCTCAAAAATATTTGTCATATCTTTTATGATAGCATACCATATTTTGAAACAAGCGCAGCAACTGGCCAGAATGTGGAGAAAGCAGTGGAAACCCTTCTGGACTTAATCATGCTACGAATGGAACAATGTGTAGAGAAAAGTCAAGTCCTTGAAGCCATCAATGGTGGGAACTCTGGAATACTAGAAGGAGAAAAACCAACGGAGAAAAAATGTGCCTGCTAGGCACAGTCATCCAGACACTCACCCAATCCTGCTTCCCCAGTGAGAAACCACGAAATTATTGTTGAGTAGACCATGCAAATAGCATGTTTTTCTTTTTTCTGCCAGAAAATTTATTTTAAGAAGCCAGAATAGTCATCAGTGTTCAAAAGAATTGACCAGTTTTCTCTGAGGCCCCTCCCAACAAGAGCCAAGCTTTCCTATTGGAATTTCACCATTATGGATGTCAAATAAATTCTTCTTATAATGAAGATGAGTAAATAAAAGTGTATACATGAAGATATCACAGTTTTAAATAAGAAAAAAATTACCAGCTACACTGAGGAATGGAATAAGGTTCTAAATAGAGAATGTAGACGTTTATGTGTATAGTTATTTTTAAGATTTCATTTAATCGTTATATAAAATTTGATGATACTTTTGAATTTGCATTGGGGGAAACTGTTAAGTATAAATAGATCTATGGTAAAGAATTGTTAATGGGTCATTAAGAATGATATTAACATATATTTCAAAAAACTGTTCTTGAATGACTAAATTCCATTATGGGCATAAGAGAATGAATGTTAGACTCCTGCTAAAATATAAAAGATTGAATGATCATGCTAGTTTTTAAAGTTTATAAACAGACAGGTAGACAAGAACAAGACTATGTAGGATGTGAATGACATAATTCAAGATAAAAACCCTGGAAGAGAAATGGAAGATTAGGACCATGGCCTTTGGACTACTGGAATTAAATGTATCTGCTGCAGATGTCTAGGGGAGTTTCTCAGCCAAATTTCACTCAATCCAATTAGAAGTTGACCTTATCAGTTGGGATTAAGAGAATCTTGGAGCTTTCCATTTCAAACAAAACTTTAAAAATACTTCCATGCTCAGTTTCACTTTTGTGTCTCTTGATATATGGTGATTGTCACAAGTAAAAATTTAATTGTTGTTTATTAAATAACTCTCAAACAATGCAGTTAGTTAGGTTATTTAGCTGAAGAAGGCTATTAAGCCTTAATATTTTAAAGAAAAATGTGCTAGTGACATATGATGAAGCGGCTATTATGCATTTCTTCTTGATTTACAAAAATATATTGGAAATTCTAAAAATCATATTTCTCCTCTCTAGCCCATACCCACCCCTGGTTTGGAGTCAATTGCAAAAGTACAGATGTGTCCATTAACAGATAAATGAAAAATGATGGAACATAATAATTATGGATCAATTTTATGATCACTCTGAATTTCCATGTTATTATTAGTCGCATAAAAGTTGATGATACATCATAGCATATCACACAACATATTCACATTTGTCTTTATGTTTCATAAAGTAAAATACCCCTAGTTGAGTTATGAATGAGGGTTGGCAGAGATAGAACTGTTTCCTATTTACAAAAAATTAGTCACTATTTTTCACATAAAGATTTCTTTACTTTCTAAAACTGATCGCAAGAGCATTTCCATGAACCTGTTTTTATTGTGTCTAATCTAATATTCTATTAGTTTTCATATTAATTTCTGATAAACATAAATCACTGTCTCAGTATATGTTCAATAAAAAACACGGTACTTCAAGTTTCATCTTTTTATAAGTATATCATTTTCAATGCAATAGTTCTTCATAAATTTTTGCCAATTTAACTGCATTTTTTATACACTGTAGATTTTATAAGTGTTTGAAAGTCTAAATTCCAATCCTTCCTTTTACTTTTTCCTACTACTCCCTTCACCCTGCTGGTACTGACTTAGTTTTATGAACATAGATCCAGTAGATTGTCTATTCATAATATTCTAATGAATACTATGACCCAGAGTGTGCCATGAATCAGAGCAGTTTGGAAGTTTTGATGGAGTTAATACCATGTGTTGTTCTTACCATTTTGATGGCGTTAATACCTTGTGTTGCTCAGTTCTGGGTTTCTGCAGTACCATCTCAACATCTAAGAAGGAAGTAGGGTAGGTGTACCAAACAATGGTATTTTTTATCTCTGATGTTCTTTGTGACCATGTGCCTATGCCATGAAGTTAGAAAGCTTTTAAGTGATACTAAACATTTTTTTCTCTAAAACAACGAGAAAGAAGCTGGGGATGTAGCTCAGTGGGAGAGCTTGCCCTGGAAGCGTGAGCACCTGAATTCCATCCCTGGCACCACAATTATAAAAGCAAAAACACTAAAAGAACAAGAAACAGAAACAAAATGATTACTTCCGTGGGAGCATTGGGTGAACTTTTGTGGTAATTTCATCAATTTCTTAGGATTCAGTTTTTATGTTTTTCTGTATTTCCATAATAGGGAATGTTTATTTAGCCTTTATGAAACCTTAGAGGTATTCTATTTTGTACAGTTTTTTTGTTTCTATTCATTTTCCAGTTAATTGATTGATTTACTTTTGCTAAGATTCTGTCGTAGTAAGTTATCTAACAAGTATATTTATTTGAATCTATTTTACGATTTTTAAAATAACTATAGCATGAAACATAGGGTGTTGATGCTCTTAATAATAGAAGACTTGCCTACAAAATAATTTTGTTGGTTAATAATTTTTTAAATAATGAAATTTAAGACAGACAATAAAACTAATTTAAAATAGTATTCTGGTGGCTGGAGCGATAGCACAGCAGGTAGGGCTTTTGCTATGTACACAGCCAACCGGGTGCAATTTCAGCATCCCATATGATCCCCTGAGCACCACCAGAGGTAATTCTTGAGTGAAGAGCCAGGAGTGACCCCTGTGCATCGCTGCGGGAGGGAATCCAAAAGAAAAAAAATAGTATTCTGTTCTCTATTATTCTCATTTTTGGTAGATTTTGTTTAGTCAGAGAGATAGTACAGGGGTTTAGGCATTTTTCCTGCTTGTGGCCAACCTGGATTTAATACCAGATGCCACATACGGTCCCTCAGTACTACCTGGAATGATCCCTGAGCGCAGAACCAGGAATAATCCCTGAGAACTCTCAGGTGTGTCCCAAAGCAAAAATCCTTGAATATGAATTTGAATATGAATTAATTCATTTTACAATTTCAGCTTGAACTGGTGCCATGAAGTAAATATATTGCTTTCACCCATAATAGCATGTATGTAACAAACTTGATAATTTCTCAAATGCTTTAGTAAATCAAACATATATTGTAGAAGTATTTTTTAAATGTACATGACATTTACTTCTAATATACAAACCATTTCTGGAGTGTTTACACTGGTTTGATGTTTACATTGTTCTAACACAGTGCCTCAGACAATTCTGTGACCAAATTTGTCTCTAATCACGTGGAACATTTCCTATAATGTATCAAAACCTCACAGAGACACACAACTCAAGATCTTCTGAAGTCTTCAGTAAAGAATTTTAGATTATCGGAATCTGGAGGTTATTACTAACATTTTCTGATTTCTACTTTAGTATTCATGAAGTAGTCATTACTTGAGATGCTTAAATATGATTAGATACAAGGTTACCTTTTAATAAAAAGAAAGAATACTTTATAACAAAACTAGAAGTAATACAATGTTTGTCTTTATATCAGGAAGGAAAAATATCATGAGTAGTCAAGAAAATACTGAACACTAAGAAATGAGTTTGTGGGTCTCTCTGTAAAAATCTTGCAAATCATCTCTCTAAACAATTTTTTTGCCACTATTTTATTAGTTACACTGCAAAAAATATTTAACCAGCATTTTGTAAAGCAAATAGTTTATCTGTTGTTTGTAACCAGATGTGTCATTGTATGTATTAGTGGGCATCTTTGTTATGGTGTTAGTAAGTGTTTTTCCCTTAAATACACAAGAGCTTTACAGGTCTTTATCTCTTTTACAACAGAGAGAACTTGATGACAGAGAAAATAACTAATAACAAAGAAAATAACTAATAAAAACTAGTTTTAAAACAACTAATAAAAGATAAATATTACTTAAACTTTAAATGAAGTCCACAAGGAGTTAATAAGTTTGATGACGTTCAAATATATTTTCAATAATGGAGCAAGTATAGCAATTAAAGAGAAACAATGTATATATAGCTAAGGTATGTAGCTAGTTATAGTATAAAGTCCAGAAGCTGATTCCAAGATTGTTCACTGTTCTATCTCTAGTCATTTTCATAGGGAATATATATGTTTTTCTTATACTTTCAAACACTTTAAGGAGAAATCTAAAACTCAAACTGTAAAAAATAATATTGAATATTTTGACTTTCTAGAAATACTATCTCTTTAAAATAAATATTTGATTACTGATATTAACCAAACTGATAACAAAGTTGTCTTTCACTATCTACTACCAGGCTTTAAAACTTTAAAAGAAGTCAAATATATTTGAAATATTTTAGAAAAAACTATCACTTTAAAAATGTCAAATGTTGTTTATATTAAAAACTGTATCTAATAACAATAAGTTATATTTTCTTCCTGATATTTGATCAGAGTATCTGGAGAGAGTGCTGCATTCCTAAACATGGAAAATAAATGTACAATATTATCTGAAATGAGAATTATCTTAATATTTTTGAAACCATGAAGATTCTTGTCTTATAAAGTATAACTGAAAAACTTATTGTTGGATATACAGGGGATTTTATAAACTGTCTTAGAATTTTGGGTGAAAATCAATGATTAAGCAAGGAACATAAACAGAGTCATAAGTTAAGAGTTGTATAAACAGAATTCTTAGCAATGGTAGAACAAGGCCAACTTATAGTAAGAAAATTAAAAATGAATTAACAAGAAAAAAATTTTATAACTAGATCTGTGTCAAACATTCATCCATCATTTTTAACTACTAAGTAGAGATTTATGCCCTCATAATGAAGATAACAAATTATTGAAACACCAAATAGTTCATCCTGACATCAAAATTGGGGAAACAAACATTTTATTTTTGCCACGAGATCAAATTTTGATAAATTGGTTTCTGATTAAGTTTTTATGGGCAGCCTCACATCTTTCTGTAGTGTTCTGTTTACCAAGTCTAATCTATAGATTAGAAAATATAGAGAAAATATAGAAAAAATTTTCTATATATAGAAAAATAACTACACATTTAAAACATTTATAGAGAGAATATAAAAACAAAAAAATAGACTATAACAGTGGGGTTATTTAAAAGGTGCCATATTGGTGAGACATATGAAAAGGAATTGTCACTGGATTGGGTCATTTTAATTTGGTTCTTGGTTCTTTTTCTTTCCAGCAGGTCATGGGAGTCATGGCTAATATCCTTTACCCTTTAAGCATCATTAGCAAATTCTTTAGGAACCAAAATGTCCGTCTTTAACATAATGGATCTCTTATTTAACCAGTGAGTGTTGTCTTTTAGTTTGTTGGCTCACCAAAATAGCTTCTGTCCTTAGCAAAATATTAATA